ATATATATAATAATGCTGTTATACAAGTTACACCAAGTTCTATAGCATGAATCAGCAGTTTTGTTGTTTATTTTACTCCATTCTTGTGATGAAATCAGATGTTGATCAATGATGAATCACTAGCGACCATGTGCTCGTTGCATGTTAGAGGTGAACTTATCAAATGGAACTGAAAACTCTTGCAACTTCAAAAACTTTCGGCTCTGTTGTTTCTGATCTGATTCACATAACCAGTTAGAAGTGTTTACATTGCTGAATGGGTGCATATGTTTACATATCCGAATGATTGCATTCTAGAAAAACGTTTGCTCTCTAATCATTGGAAATCACTTCAAAAGCGTATCGAGACGGTCTGTAACAAACAAACACCATGTCGTCAGTAGGGAACGAGGAAACTAAAAACTCCAAGCTCCAGATCACCCTGCAGAAGAAAAACTCGGCTGGGTATTCCTGACCCTCGAGTACAATTTTCACACAAAAACCACATGCAAAGAATTTCACTCCTATGAAATTTCAATGGTATTCCAGTAAGGCAATGTTTCAGAGGAGTCTCTTAGTATAAAGAGACGAAGTGTAAAGCGTTAAGTTAGCCTTGATTAATCCCTCAGAGTTGGGCCATGCATCTCACCAAAAGCCATTTGAGATGGCTCAGTGCATATATGGCCTGCACAGTGATTTCTCGTCACCTAATGACAAATCACTTCAGCGATTTTTGTGCACACAAACAGGTCTAGTACGAATCTCTGCACCCAGGATTGGTGGGATGTTTGCCTGACCTAGAGCACGAGATCGAACCAGCAAGCGTGTGAAATTTCTGCATAGGACCTCCAACCTCTACGCTGCACGCACTGCTTGAAAAAGCCTCTTAAAATCAGCACAAGTGGTGAGACAATGTGCACATTCAAAGTAGTGAACTCAATTTGCAAGTTTCTTTGAGAATTTTATGAAGTAAACTGCGGATTTCAATATCGTCTACAGAATGGGTGAACTTAGGAACATTAAGTGCTAAATTCTTTATTCATACGCACAGTTGTGGCCTTGTGTAAACTATACGGGAAGGTAAAGGAAGCCGTAAATATTCAAAACAATTTTTATGCCTTCCTCTTCGGTTCACAAAAGTAGGAAAAATGTTCAAAACTCATGTTCAAATTTTTAACTTTGCAGCTCTGAAGTTCGTTGCTGCAAAGCAGATGCTGGGTGATCGATGGAAAAAGGAATATCTTCAATAATCAGTAATGGTAGACACAATTAAAAACTGGACTTTTGACGGTTCAGAGAACGTCTACAAATGAGGGTCCCAGCTATGCCTATTAGGCCGGATGCTGAACAAGGTCAGCGACTAAAGTTAAAGGTGAACATGAGCTAAAATATGGTTTGTATCTTTTATAAGAGGGCTTATGAAGTACTACACAAGACATGGAGCTCTTGGTTTTTGACAAGTCTATTTTACTTTATTGTGCGGCTTCTCACTTTTCACGGGCGCCTGTATAAAACATGCCGGCTAGAGGTCCACTGAGGAACGGCCCACGTGAAATAAAAAAAGCTGAGATTGGAGATAAATGTTGCAAATGAGTTTTTAAGGGTGACAAGGATAAAGCTCTCGGCGTTGGTCATTCCCTGATGGATGAGCCATGCATTCGACTTCATTAAGTATCGTTGGAGGTGACTGAATGCACATCTGGCCTTTACAATAACTCGCGGTGGCCTACCGATGTATCAAACCAGTGCGGCTGTCCTTCCAAACAAGTCTGGTAACAATTCTTCGACCCCAAAGGGATGGAAGGCTTGGTGGGCCATGGGCGCGGAGATCGTGTGTGTTGCAGGGGGCCTTCTACAACCGCGCCACACGCGCCCTTGAATGGGTTGATGCTAACTATTAATCGCTTGAATCAAGAGCACAATACTAGGGATCCATTCTAAGAACAATCGAGGCGCAAGAGTTGTACGAAAAGCGAGGGATTTATCTATGCTCCGAAGACAAATTGTCGTACTCGTGATGTCCCACAAGCGGAAAGAGACTACTGGGCCCCCTTCGCCCGCACAAATACCGCAGGTGCTTTTGGAATTTGCTCTGTGATCATTATCTTTTTGTGGCCGGATTTCTAAAACTCTTGCATTTTATTACATCAAATTAACATAGTGCAGCAGTAACTAGAGGTACACACGTGGTCGCTTTTTCGATCCCGCCGTATTGAGACCAGACGTACATCGTCCAGGAGTGGCAGACTAGTTGCCAACTTGTTGTCCATGCACAGTCAACTGATTGTGGTAAGTACTTGGCAACAGCATAAAAGAACGATTCCAGAATTTTTTATCTTCCACTTTTTCATTCTTGGATCGCACGAAGAACCATACCAAATAAGAAACGGTATCAGTGAGAAACACAAAATTCTCATATTTAGTGGAAAACACATGGAAATCTACAAATACCAGGTCAAATAAACCGAACGAATTGAAGTCCGCTCAGCCAGATAGAAATAAAAACAATGGTCTGTAAATAGAAGCTTATACGTTGTTATTTCTACTGCAGCCTCAACCTAACTCGGTTGAAGGCCTGTTTCTGTTCCTCAGACGAATCCCATTGACGAGTGATTGTTTATGGCACCGCTAGTATAGAAAGTGGCTGAAAGAAAGTCAAAGCAAAACGAGGGCCTCAGTAGTGCAGTGGGTAACACGTGAGCATCCGGAAAAGGAAATCATGGATTCGAATCTCTACTGGGGTCTGAGTTTTACAAACATCTCAGCATCACTGTGGCTGTGTTTTGCACAAAAGTGCCTGATGATAGTAAATTCAAATTTGGCTTTTGCTTCTGGTGAAATGGTTATCAGTCTTATACGGTGGAGAAGCATACACGGTAAGCAGAAAACGAACGCCGAGCGACGCCAAGGTGAATGTATTACCACCGCTCTTAACAATTACATAACTGCGTTTGAGCAATGATTCGAATATTATTCAAGAAAACTAAGCACGCTCTATCTTTGAATTGTTTTTTGACCCAGCCCTATCTCAAACATTCATACCACTTTTTCATGAACTATTTATTTTCAGTTAGTATGAATCTCATGGCTAGTTGAAAGGTTCTTCTAACTTTCCAGAGAATGGTATTGCTCTATGCTCGTACAAATCTTCCCTTCGAATCACGACGCTGTGGTTTTGACACCCTTCGTCTGGCTCTGAAACATTTCAGTGTAACAGGGTCACTTTATACCAATAATATATCTTGCCACTAGGCCAGGAATCATCATCACAGAAAGTTTGAAAAAGCATACCGTTCACTTGAATTTCGGCTTTTCACTGATCTTCTTCGACTCTTGTATCTCCTTGACCTGTGACTTCTTGATGGACGTCTTCTTCGCAGACTTAGAGCACTTCCAGATCTTCGTCGTCGACTTCGGTAACTTCTTGATCTTCTTCGTGATAAGCGTCGAGATCTTCCACTGCTCGAACTTCTCGAACGTCGGGAAGATCTTCGTCGTCTGATAGATCGACGTGACACCGACCTTAAAACTTTGCTGGATTACAAGACTAAAATCACGCTGATGACACTAATGACGTGGAGTAAGTATGAGTTAATGACTTAGGCTCGTTCACCCTAAAAAATAAAACATATTTAAAACACATCTGCTTGACCCTTCACCTCTTTTGGCGTCGGAGGGAGGGTGAAGAGATGCCGGATGCTTTTGCAATAGACACAGACCGAGTTTTGCGGCCACTCCTCCGACTACTTTTTGAAGCTGAGACAGTACCGCTAGCGGTTCGAGTAGCCGTAGAGCTTCGAATTCTCCTTCGACTTACTGTGTTACAAGGCATGTCAGTAAAATAAACCATCCCGCTGATTGTTCACTTAAATACCTTACGTTATAACTAGCATAACTCTCGCCGTTAGGTAGATAGTGATAAGCTAACATAGGTTTAAGTCGTGACTCATTTATCAAGAGAAGAACTGCGGGCGAATATTAAATAAAAACATCACATTTTTGTCAGAATCTCTAATGGATACGGTGAAACCCTTAACTAACCCCCATAGCTTGCAACAATTCCGCCACACTGATATATTGCTAAACGATCAACAACTGACTTTACCCCATGTGTAACAGTACTATTCTGTACAACTGGTGAGGTTGAAAGGAAGACCTAAAGAGTTTTACAGCAGCTTTTGTTGACTGATCTTTTTACTGAAGCTATTGATGGATATACAAAATAGAACTACAAGATGTATCGAGAAAAGTTCATAACAATTTTTATGAAAAATGTGTTGATTTTTTCTATGGGAACGCTTGAAGACATTGAGTTTTGAGATTAAAAATATCACTTCTTGGTGTGTGATATTTTAAAGTGATATTTAGTTCTATTCCATTCCAGGCCAACCAAGGCTCTCATCCCTCTGGGATCGGGAAGTCGGTGCCGGACTTGTCCGGGAAGAAATCTCTCTGCAATCGGGAATGTTCCAACCCCGCTATCCCAGGACTCCAAGGAGAACCCACTCGACCACCATTCTACGACATTCAAGATGAAATGAAAACCCTCAAGCAGCAACGGAAGCCACACGTAAAAACTTGGAAGACCTCTGTGGATGATAGATGCGAGGAAACGGATCGAATGTGAGAAGTGCTGGGAACCGCACAGTAGACGAAGACGGGTCGCATGAGAAAATACTTAAAAAAGTGAGATATCTCTTCCAAAAATGGTCTCCATAGCGTTGTGCATCACCGCATAGGTAATACAGCTAAAGAAAACGCTCTCATACTACAGCCAACAAGTTAAACACACCGCATCAACTGATATGAACACAGTATCCAATGTCAATCAAAACTGTTAACTTGTAATACAACCCGAATATGTCTCATGATAAGTATGTAGTCGGTGATTCCATTCTGTGATCTAGGCTAACATAAACCCACCCCCAACCATATGGTTTTAGCAAATTTAACCCATACACGAAGACCTCTAGTTTAGCTTAAATTTCACAAGGGAGGGCACCTAATTTATCACTGCGCTTGTTGTGACATCCATAGAGCTCACATCATTTGGAAGGCCCTAGTACAAATAAGTTCTGCAGAGGTTATATCATCGTGTAAGTGTTAGTCACCTTGATGAATGACACGTTTTCAGTGCTTCATGATACCAACTAATACAAAAGCGCTGATAGAGATCAGAGATTGTCAAAATCAAATGGCCAACGCTTACGACGGCTCAACCTACTCCAATGATGTTAGTCTCGCTAACATTAAGACTAATGATTATTGCAGTGTCACTTTGCTCGTGAGCTCAAGAATTATCCACGCATTTTCTTTCACTATTTTATAAAACTGAAATAATTCTAACAGATGTCATCTCACGTCACTCATCTGCGTTGCTTTTTTCCTACCTTAAGAAAACCACGAACTAATCGAAAGGTAGCCCGCGACAAGTTAATGCTTCTTCCCAAAAGGCTTGAAAAGCTTATTAGGCACTTTGGGGAGGCACTTTTATCTGCGCATTCATCTCAAGATTCCGAGCTTATATGTCTGCTCATGAAATGCATCCTGCAATAGTTTATGAGTTATTTTTATCCTTTGTCTTATCTTAGTGGAAATTTATGGTTTTTTAAATACTTACCTGAACTAAGCAATGGTACCAATTTCACGAACTTGCTGCTGTACACTGCGACTTAAAAGTTTCCATGCTTGTCAGTGATAGGTCCATATTCCGTCTTTTATATCTTCTTTTCCGACGCTCCACGATTTTTAAAATTTTTTTATTGCTGCCAGAATTTCTCCGGACTGTATGCAGCAAGATTCCTGAAAAGTTACTCCTCCCGAAATCTCTGGTGAACAACGATAGTCCTTTCAGTTAGAGCTACACTATGGTTATTTCCCTCTTTCAACGTTTTTAAAAGTCCGTTAATTACTACTTTATGTGCTATGCAAAACTCTCCCAACAGTTTACCACTTCATCGTGACTGGAAGGTATTCCTGGGTGTCGGGCTGCAATGTACAGAGGGGGATTCATCCCCATCGCATGGTCTCCCATGCTGAGAAGAAATCCACCATGTCTATCAGGAAGCCCAGCTAAGAGCAAACCAATACCAGGATCCACCACCATCCCGGTATCAAACCGGTCGTATGGTAGCAAATCTCCTTCCGATCAACAACGGTGGCGAATGCCTGTAGCGGTAACGACCCGAACGACCTAGGACAGAATTTGGCCAGGGTGACCTCGAGACTCCAGGGAACCACAATGGTTAAACCAGCAAAACTACGAAGCAATGGAAATTTTTCTGGGGACAGCACAAGTAGTGAGGACGGGCCATCCAAGCATCCAAGAATTACGCAATGTTTACAAAGCGTGACAATATCTTATAAACTGACTTTCACTAAATTTCAGAAAGAACAATCGGTGATTTTCCAGATGACTAAGCTGACACGACGTTGAGATAAACTTTTATTCCGTTAACGTTTTGACGTCCTCTTTAGAGCAGTCGATCCGAGTCGATGGTCCACAGCTGGTCGGCCTTGAGATGTTGGTGTACGTTGCCGTACCGAGTCGATTCTATGGATAGAGCACCGCTCTAATAAAGAATCCCACTCTGTAGTGTCCTTTGATACCCCTTATACAGGACGGATATTGGATAAGCTTTTTATACCAGACTCCCGTCAGCTCAGTCATATAGAAAATTAACGTCTAAAAAGTTCAAAAGAGCCTATCTTTTCTCTATGTTACACTGGATCCTCCTCCATCACCATTGAATCGCAGCGAACAACTATAGCATAGTTCTCCACAAATGCCACTAGCAGTTCTTTTCAAAAACTTGATGGAAGCGTTGAGAGGATTCGAAAGGCCGACTTTCTACAAAGTTCTGCATAAATATCCGACATATTTATTTATATGCTTTTAGTCCTAAGATAACAGTGCTAGAGCGTTCCCATGTGGATTTCAGGAAGTACGCTCTGATGGCAGACGAGTCTGGTGCCAAGTTGAGTGCTCAGGAAGGATGAGAGGCTGGGTGAGCCGGGGGCGGGGTACAAGCAGCTCCATGTTCGTGGTGGACGGCATCACCATTAGTGCGCAATCCCCTCCCTCTCCCACACCTAGCTTACGCTTGCTTTGACGAACACGTAGTATGTAGCGCGAGATTTTAACATCTTTGTCGATCCAGTTATCTCGCCATTATCTAGAAAAGGTTTCAAAAGAATCAGTGGATTGTTGATAGGAATCCTACTGTTGCAGAATCCTAATTATGTGATTTATTTTCAATGATGCTGAGATGTTTGCAAAACTCCGGACCGCAGGTGTCTACGGTGGGGAACGAACGCGCTGTTGTCCTTTCCGGGGAGTAACCACCACATCATGCGGGTCCTTCGTTTCGCTTGTCTCTCAGCTAGTTCTATCGATCTCTGCCATCAGCAATCACCCGTCAACAGGACTGAACTGGGGAGCCCAAATCGGCAATGAACCCAGTTAAGCTGAGGCTTTAGTTATAATCATAATCTTAACAGTTTCGTTTATTGCCTAATCTTTTTAATGGCATCATCATTGATGTTATATTTCGCAATATACCCTGCCATTAAAAAGTTTAGGCAGTAAATAAAACGGTTAAGATATGCGATTTGCGTCCGTCCTTGTTTAAACCAATACCAGGATCAAAACCAGACCAAGTAAGTAAGCATGTCCCTGTTTAAAGATAAGACTGAACAATGTTTTCTCCTCTCTTTTTCTTATTGTACTTTTGTCCAGCCTCATTCTATTTTGTTCATCGATTTTCTCTCGGAAAGATATGGTTGACGATTCTTTTAGGAATGTTGATCTCCTCGGCTGCTTTTATGGAAGAAAAGAGCTTCCTTTGAAATCAGATATATAACATACAACTGTGCTGTGCTCTCTATAATGGAAAACTTAGTTCGGGAATGTCCCGCATGCAACCCACACATATGCTAAGGTTTTTCTCCATTTGGTGTCGAGTGGCATTAGGAACTAATAAACACTTCGGAATTCCCACTCTGAAACCTGCTTGTTGTGATTTCGCACCTTAGGTAAACAACTTGAAAATCGAAATTACACTGGATATGTTTAGGGCTCTCATAAATGGCTTGGATGGGACAACTCCATAGAACTCTTTATTTAAAACGGATTCTTCCCTAAATGATTGTGTGTGCCATGTCGTACATTTCAGTTGAACACTGCTAGAACACGTTGACAAGGATGCTGGGATATGAGCAAAACTCGGAACTTCAGATGGGCTTTGAACCTATGACTTTGACCTTTTTCAGGAGTTTACGTGATATTCACCACACCAAACGAGTGCCTTGATTTGATTTTCTCTCAGACAGTTTTATACCTTAGCGGAGCCTTCAGCAATCATACTTCGACTGCAATGATATTGGGAGCACAAATGTGCATTGAACCCATTTAGGCTGAACTGAAACTGAAGTAGCTTTTATTCACTGCCTATTCTTCTTTCATAGTAAGGTATTATGTGAAATCTGTGCTGGAATAGTCAAGTCAAAATAGCCAAGTTCAT